AGCACTGTGCTTTCAGTTTTGTCCTTCATTTTCAATGGTTGAAATGTTCTATTTATTTTTGTAAATTTATTAATTTAACATTATGTAGATGTTTTTATAAGAGCCTAAAGATTACGTAAATAATATTTATATTTTGATAAAAGTAATAATATTTACAAATTTCCTCCCATTCTTTGAGAAAATGCAAAATGTGCATTCACTTATGTCCACCATTTTACGTTCAAAATGTTTGTGGCGTACAATTTTCCGTTTCTATATACGGTGCCTGTTTTCATTAGGAACCGCAGCATAGTTATAACAGCCTATGAGCGCCACAGATTCTATTCATTTCGTATATTCTGAATATGCTGTTTACGTAGAAACTATTCTGATTTAAGGTTATTATTATGGTTCGTATTTACCCAATTACGGTTTGTCACGTTTCGTGTTTATCGGTTCGAGACTGCAGTTCTATTATCTAGGATATATATTTCACTAATTTGTGATATAATTACAGTCATTTTGCTTTAGAAATATGACAGAAAAATTCATGCGATGCTAATAATGAGAAATAATGTGTCACGAGTTCTGCTTAAATAAGAATAGAATGTTTTGTGAAATAGTCTTTTGCTCTGTAATTAAAGGAAATAATATAATTTTGTGACGAATACACATTACAAAACATTTTTACATACTGCTTTAATTTTATTTAAACATTAGTATGTTAATTTCAAATATTTTTATGGTCTGTGACTTTATTCTACCCTGAGAAAAGCAGTAATGAGAACAAAAAACTTTGAACGTTTACGGAGGAGGTTATTTTAGTTTAAATTTAATTTTATTTAACAAAAGTAAAAGTTTCATGTTATTTTTACTTTTGAATGAAACGAAATATTATATCACTTTTTTATATTTTCAAAGTTTTATATTTAAAACATTTTTAATAACTCACCCCTTTTGAGTTGATAGTTTCAAGCTTTCATATTAGGAACTGATTTTTTTTTTTTTAAATATTTTCAGTGACATATTGATCACTTTCAGAAATGGTCGTAGTAGAGAAATAACTTGAAAACAATCTGTTTTCTCAAGAGTATTTTTATTATTTCATACTTTTTCTCTCATACTGACATGCTTTAATTTGTTTCATGCATACAGCATTTTAAAAGCTGAAATTCTTACTATTTGATACGGTAGACTATCCTATCGGCCAAATTTGGTTCGCAGATTAAGACACATTATTACTAACAAACAAATAGAAGAAAAATTCTTTTCTGGGAAATCCTTTAGATATTTTTCTGACATTTTAGTTATTTTTAAACACGTTTAAGAAAACTAGTATTTTCCTAATGTAATACAAATTTTATACTGAAATAGAGTATTAATACCCAAGTTTAAAATAGTGAACGATTTTTAACATGTGGTCTGTCATTAAAGAATTTACAAATAAGTCCATATTAACATAAATTAGAAATTAGTGTCGAGTGACTTTTTTCTTTGGGGAAGGGCTGCTCCAGGCGGAAAATGTGTGCCCAATTTTTAGAGACTAGAAACAGCTTGTCTAATTCCTACAGTCTGGCGAATTTACAAAATTAAGTATTTATGCAAAATTTGAGGCATAGAATAGAACTATGAAAAAAAAGACATGCTATTTCTAAACAAGTCTTAATTTATTTAAAAAAGCGCAAGTTAAAACAATGCTATATATAAATCTGATTCGGTTTTTATACAAGAAAAACATAAATTGAATTTTGTCGATCGACCTACTACAATGGGACATATAGAACAGTTTTTTTACTGAATATAACGCTATTTTACTACTTTATTATATAACGTTTTTAGCCTTGCTTAAATTCACATTAAAATAAAATGTTTTAACCTGTCAGTACATGATTGAATTATTTCACTTCAGTGAGTACAAAGAATGGTTTTAGAATAAAATCAAAAATGTGCTTTTGTCTTTTAAAGAAACATTTATGCTTGTCTAAGAGCTTTAAACTTTGAGTTAGAATGTATGGTTATTGCAAAAAAAGGAAACCTAGATTCAGGTAATTAGAGTTCTTCCAGTTTTCATAAAAAGTCCTGAAAAATTCTGGTTATCTAAAGCAGGAAATGTACATAAACTTACACAATTCCCATATACAAAATTTTTACATTTACTGTAGACGCCTTGGGCTTTATTTATTTATTTTTGCGCGTAGCATTAATAAAGTTCTAAATCATCTCTCGATGCTTCTCTTCATATTTCCGTTTCAGAAATATACGTCGCTGGCTTTTTTCCTGAACATGGTTCTTACTACTGAGTAAGATTTCTTTTTATAAATTATATGGATTACCTTGTTATACACTATTCATGAATTTATTATAGCGAGAAGCAAAGTATTAGTATAACATATCTACTGGTCGTCTAGACTTATCGTCTAGGACTAGCATTTTATTTAATAAGAATATTTTTTCCTCATTTGATCTGAAACGTTTAGGTCGCATTTTATTTTATTGAAAAGGATGTTTTTATATCTAGAATTTCATATTTCTTCCACTTAAGCCTTTGAATATATTGCTTCGATTAGTCTATGTAAGCCGTCCGTGTGTCCGGACCTGCTCTCACCTATCGCCTGCTGTTTCAAATCGCCACACATTTTCAACTCAAAGCATTCATGGAAAAAGCCCATACCCATCTTTCATTTAGCTGTCTCATCAATGAAAACATTGCCCAAGATGGCCCACCACAGGGGCGACATATTTTACACTTCAAAAAATAGGGAAAATCAGTTGATGGAGAATGGATCCGAGTCTCTCCTCCACCTCTTTTATCCTACCGCCAAACATCTCGAGAGGACTTCCTGCTGGCCAGTATTTTCAGTGCACCATCATTGCATAGGCACTATATATTTATAAACATCCAAGCCTTCTCTAAGATTAAACCCCGAGCGTTACGAAACATCAGAAATAGAGCTAACACTGCACCGATTGGGGGGGGGGTATATTCATTGTAATAGTTTATAATAATTAAAGTTCACGATATAGTTTGACTATAAGGTGTTAATAAATGGTAATGGTTTTGTTTAAAACTTTTATTTATATTTCTGTGATATATATTTAACCACTCTGTCAGCATTTTTGGCACAGTGAGTAATTTGGTACTTCACGCAACTAGTGTTGGGTCACCCATAGTATGAAGTTCAGAGCAATTGCGCTTCTCTTCATGAGTATTAGTCATCGTTTTAGTTGAAACGCCTTAGTTTTCAAGTTTTATACAATTCTTAGGTAGGGTAAATAAAGCGACTATCATCTAGTCGATAGGACCTAAAATTTTAGGCAGTTCGAAGACCGGCTAATTTTGATAAACGGGTTAATTGCATGACTGCTAGAACATTTTCGTGTTTCTACGAGTGTGATAGAAAATACGAGGCCATAATTCTCTCAGAAAGTTCTTAAAGTGAAGCAGTACGTATTCGAATTAGGCAAGTACATCTCGCACGCTCTGTCGATAAACGCATGTCGATAAACGAACAAACGACAGCCTATGCAAATAATCTATGAGCTATTCTTTTTTCAAGGAACGAGAAAAATATTAGCAAGACCTTGTCAAAGAAGCCCATTTTCTGACGGAGCTCGCTATTTAATAAATACGAGAAGCCATTTCACTTAGATATTTTTTCGTTTCATAAATTTGAGAGTATTATCCTACACTGAAAACTGGCAAATAGTTTTTACATCGGTCTTTTATCAAGTGCTGAAACAATATCTCTTTTCAAAGTCGTAAATTTTTACAGGAAAAAATGGTTTAGGCATAAAGTTCTTTGGAGGAAGTTACAACTGAATACATTTTATTTCATTTCATTGTTATGAATACTCTATGAAATGATTTCTATATAATTATAATATTACATTGGTTTAGTGGGCAAAGTATCCTTTGTGGTAGCTAAATGGGGACAAATGTAGTCTTCATTCCGTAGCATTGTTCGTTTTAAAATTTAACGTTCTTCATACTTTAGTAGCTTAAAAAAAATTCATATAATTTTATCTTCAAGCCTAGAATACTTTCACAGATATAAAAAAGTTCGAAGAGCAATCCTGTGATAGTAAGATTTCAAAATTTCAGTCTCAGTCTCTGTCTTACTTAATGAAGTTTGTTCTTTATTGTCGATGTAACAAGCAGCTCACCTTAATTTACAAAATCAACAGGTCTAAAGATAATGGAAATCTACTGAGATATTTAGAATTTAAACTTTCGGAAATCTCCCAGGAAAGGAAAAGTACAATCTAATCCTTTTGGATTAAGGGGTCAAGTTACTAAAATAATTTTAAAAAATCGAATTGTATCTATTTCTTTTAAATTAAAACTTGGTTTCTTACAAGTGTTTTAAAAAATCCAATGGAAACATTCCTTCTGGATCTAAAAGTAAAAAAAAAAATATTTTTAAGCTCTTATCATTTAAAGAGCTACCGTATACACCCGCGTATAAGTCGACCCCCCACTTCGACATAAAAAGTTCGTAGAAAATAAGGTTAGGTTAGGTTATTTAATTACGGCAAAGCCTCGAGGGCTATCTGCCTTCGGGAGGGATGCCTTCGTGGAGGACTTTCTAAGGGAAACCGGCTCGTACACACGTTACACATGGGGAAAACCACGAAAACACTCATGCAGCCAGCCCGTTCGCGGGATTCGAACCTCGGACCGAACTACCAGTGTTCAGCGACTTTACCGCTCGGCCGCTGGTGGGTCCGGAGAAAATAAGAAACCCGCGTATAAGTCGACCCCCCACTTCCGAAATCGATCGAGAAACTTCGAAAAAATTTTTTTAAGTATTACATTTATTCAAAATCATCTGAGAAAAAAAAAGTAAATATACGATAAAAATAGGTAAAAAACAAATCAAAATCCTTCCGCCGATATGGTCTTCGCTAAATTTCATTTTCTCCATGGCTCGTCATCATCATATTTTCAGTCTCAAACTCTGTATTTTACAATCACTACTAGAAGGGCGTTACGCAGAGATAAGAGGTCGTATGAATTTTGCTTTTGCTCCCACATTTTGCTTCACGGTGAACGGAATATTCAGCCTTACAAGAGATTTTTTTGTATCTGCAGTTACAGCAAAGCACTAGGACTTCAGTAGTGTAAGTTTCATCATTATTCACTGATTATTTAATTAATTTTCTAAGTATTACTGTTCCGGCTTGTGTTCCTGACCGTTGTTACTTTAACACAGTAACGCGGTTACCCGACCCTCCTTCCTTCTGCTGATAAGAAAAAGGAACTTTAGCATTCTCCCCTCCTCTCAGTCTCGGACACAGGCAGCGCAGGGGTGCGCTTGTAATCGAATACTACTCTAAATCCACCCCTTCCAAATTCGCTTTTATTTATTATTTATTTTTTTTTTTTCAAAACAAGAAGGAGAAGATTGTCAACCGCCATCTTTGGCCACATAAGAGTAGTAATCATCTTACGACTGTCAGTGTATTTGATTTTTTTTTTATTAGTACTACACATCATTCGTGCCAAGTGCGTGTTTGCATTCAGCTCAAGCAGTATTTTCCTCTATTAGTGCTACAGTGCAATTCCTCATTCAAGTTCATATCTGTGAAAGTGTGTGCATTGCTTAATGCAATTTCTCATCCAAGTTCATATCTGTGAAAGTGTGTGCATTGCTTATTTTGAAAGAGATTTTAACGCTTACGAAGTATTTACCTCTTACATACCCCAGTCCGAACTAGTTCTCGCAGTACGGTACATACTTTATCGGCAGTGTATGCGATTTAATTGTACATCTCCTCATTCAAATTTAATGCTACGTAGAGCTCCAGTATTAATCATATTATTCAGTGCTTTGATATAGTGCGTGTGAATATTATTCAGTACTTACTTAGGGCAGTGAAAAGTGCGTGTATTGTGCTCAAGTATTCATCTTTTTTTTTTTTTTTTTTTTTACACAGCGCTGCGTTACAGTGTACAGAGTGCGTAATTTTTATTCAGTGCTTACCGTGAGTGTGTGCATACGTTATTGCTCTTTCTTTTTCTTTTTTTTTTTAATCTTTTCTTTCATAGTGCTACAGCGCAAACTCAATATTTATGCAAGATAATTTATTTATGAGATATCTTCATTCATCTCCTAATCAAATTTTCAGTGCTGTGAAAGTATAGTGTTCTTGCAGTTATCTCATCTTATAGTGCTATAGTGCATACTTTACTGTCAGTTTATGTGATTTGATTGCGCATCTTCTCATTCGAGTTTAGTCCTAGAAAGTGTGTGCATCGTGTTCTAATAGTCATTTTGTTATTATTCAGTGCTGTGTAATAGTGTGCGTGATTATCAGTCTGTGCTTACTTAGAACTGTTTAGTATATAAGGTTAAAGTGTGTGCGTCACATTTTATATAAAACAAATATATATATATATATATATTTTCCTCTTATAGTGCTACAGCCCATACTCAATATACAAGAAAGTCTATTAGCTTATGAGGTTTCATTATACATCACCTCATCCACTTTAGTGCCGTGAAAGTGCACACATTGTGTTCTCGCAACTATCTAATCTATTATTGCTACGGTACATGCTTAGTACTCTAGCCCAAGTGCATGCGATCTGATCGTGCATCTCCTCATTCAAGTTTAGCGTCGTGAAGTGTGTTCATTGTGTTCCGCTACCTTTCCTTACAGTGCTATCGCGTAAACTGAGTATTCCTGGAATATTGCAGGTGCATGTGTATCCATCATTCATCTCATCATTCGTTTTTTATGCTCTGAAAGCATCTTCATTGTGTTCTCTTACTTACTATGCCTTCGGATACTCCCTCATCACCAGCCGGCACGGAGCATAATATTCAACATTCTCCCCCTTCTGTTAAAGGTGCTGCTAGCACATCGACACCTAACTCCAGGTTGGAAGCAATTAACCACATCTGTAACCAACTCCAGTTATTCATCTTACAAGCAAAGGAATCTCGCAGACTAAACGCTTCTGAAAGAAAGCAATTTACATCTTTTGTGAACACCGTTCGCATAACGTTAACGGAACAAGAGGTTTATCTCGCCCAGCTACAGGGACAAGTCTTGGCTCTGCAACAACAGCAACTCGCACACAGTTTACAGCCATCTCACGAGAATCCTCAACATTCCGAGTCTTATCAAGCAGTGGAATCCTCAGCCCCAGAAGAACAGTCCACAAAAGAATATTCCTTCACTGAGGTGACACGAAAGAAGCGGAAAACTTCTCCACCTTCAAGATCTTCTCCAGTTCTATCGGAGCACGTTCTATTATTAAGGTCAAAGAACTCCACACGGACACCCGAAGGGATTAAAGCTCAACTTTCGGCAGATTTGAAACCCTCCCAGCTAGGGATCACTTTAGTGCAGATTCGGCCGACAAGGTCCAGAGAGCTTCTCATCCGGTGTCGAGAAAAAGCTCACCTGCTACGCCTGAAACAGGCAATCGAGGACAGGCCAGCACTACTAGAGACACTTGAATTTCGGGAGCCCAAGCCAAGAAGGGAAAGTGTAATTATTTTTGGAGTACCTGAGAATCTAGGAAAAGAAGATCTAACAGCAGCACTTGTAGACCAACTGCCCAATTTCAATCCCAGTGCTTTTCAAATACGAGCAAGCCGTTCCGGGCAAAGCGGAAGGAAAAACTGGGTGATAGACATAGACCCTAAGTCAGCAGAACACCTAGTTAAGCTAGGCCGTCTTTTAGTGGATTTTGAGTCTTGTCCTCTCCGTCCGTACATTAGGATCATACGCTGTTACAACTGCCAGGAGTTCGGTCACTATAGCAGGAACTGTAAAAATGCTCCAGTTTGCGCGAAGTGTGGTAACAGCCACACGACGCAGGAGTTCAGCTAAAAAAAGTTCAGCTAAATTAGTCATTAGTTTGTAGATAATGCTGGGTATTGTTCATGCTGCAATCTTATGGTCTTTAAGTTTTTATTTAAATAGTTTAAAATCTGGAACATAAAGTAAAAGAGAAAGTACAATATAAACAAACTAAGTACTAATAAAAGTATACAAAATTTCTCTGTCATAAGGCAGTTAGTTACAGATATACTAAGCTTCAAAATGTATTACATTTTTCTCATATTTAATTATACTAAAGCAATGACCCCTAAAGCAATGTGCAAAAGTTTACGAATGTTGAGTTTAATACCTAGATTACTCTGAAATTTGCTCCATCCAAGAAATTAATGTCATTGAAAGAACTATAAAAAATATTATATCCTAATAAATTTACAAAACGTAGTAGTTTTTCTATAGCAATTACGAATTCAATTAATCAGTGTTTTGCCTGCGGTATAAGTCACACTAGAATTCCTTCAAGTAAATAATGACTGGTGATAATATTTTTATTATTAAAAATGTCGATGAGGCACATTTGCAAGAAATGAATTTTTTTAAATAATGAAATAAATAGCTTTAGCGACTAAATAATTTGAAAAAAAAAATAGTATCATAAATTTAAAGTTTGCACAAAAGGGAAAAGGAAAAAAAAAAAAAAGAAAACAAAGTTGAAAGTATTTTCATGATGAAAGAAAAATCGATCGAAATATTTTTTTATTATTTAATCATCATTGTTTTATTCAAACCTCATTTCTTGCACTCAAGGGCATTTTAATCTTTTACGCAAAGATTTTTAAGAAAAAAAAAAAAAAAAAAATCAAAACAAAAAAAAAACAAAAAAAAAAAAAAAAAAAAAAAAAAAAAAAAAAAAAAAAAAAAAAAAAAAAAAAAAAAAAAAAAAAAAAAAAAAAAAAAAAAAAAAAAAAAAAAGAAAAAAAAAAAAGGAAAAAAAAAAAAAAAAAAAAAAAAAAAAAAAAAAAAAAAAAAAAAAAAAAGAAAAAAAAAAAAAAAAAAAGAAAAAAAGTTGAAAGTATTTTCATGATGAGAAGAAAAATCGATCGAAATATTTTATTTTTATTATTTAATCATCAAGTTGTTTTATTCTCCGCAGAACCTCATTTCTTGCACTCAGCTTCAGGGCATTTTAAATCTTTTACGCAAAGATATGTTTAAGCCTTGTTTTTATGTGATAGGAACACTTAATCATAAACACCTCAGAATCACAAAAATGCATAACTAAATTGTTTCTTTGTCTAATATGCTTGATTTAAGTTCTTTTACTTAAAGAGCTCGGGAATAACATTAACAACGAAAATTATATAAGTTTGTATTAACGCTTTCATTTGAAGCTGATTTCTTTTTTAAAATATATCTTTTTACATAAACATAAAATGCTTACATTTCAATGCGCTCGTGATACCAGCCAGAAAACACATTATTTACGCATGATAAAAAATTTATATTTATGCTCATCTCGTCTTCGTTACGACAATTTTATTTTTCTCGTTTTGAATTGTTAAGTAACGTAGGAACATGCATAGACTAAGGAACTCAGTATAGGATTTAGAACAATATTACAAAGATTAAACATTGGCAGGATTTTCGTAATATGTCTCGATAAGAAAGGTATAAAGAAGATATTTGAGAGATCCTTCAAGTTGAGACTACATATAGCGACTACTGGTATGTCGCGGTGATTTAAGGTTCAAGGAGTACGGCTGAAATCTGAAGCATTTTGAACTGGGCAGTGAAATGAAGCATTTGAAATAAGATTTTCATAATTTTGTATTTTCAACTAGAGGTTTCCATAATAAGCTTTCTGCATAGTCTCCTCTTATAGCAATGCACTTATGTATTTTATGCTGCAATTTATTTGAAGAACGGTTTGTTCTGTCTTCCCTAAATAACAGGCTTTAGGGATCTTTCCTACAGCTCACGTAATGTCCTCGAATTCAATTTTTCACAGCAGCAAAATGATACTATAACGATGTCAGACCGGGGAAATAAGGTGAATAGAGAAATTCAATGAAGCCATAGTCGTCCAAAGCGACTAATGCAATTGTGGCACTGCGACTAATGCATAACTAAATTGTTTCAATTGTGGCACTGCGAGTGCTAATGATGCAGAATTACTCCTTTGTTGACTTGACTTTTCCCAGTCTCCTTTGCTCTACACTGGTGCGCAAAAATTAAGGACGAGACGGTTTTTTCAATATAACTTTGTACAAAAGCTTTCCAAATCAACACATTTAATACCGTAAGATCCCCAATATGTAAGGACAGGAGTAATGTAAGCACCACTTTCTAAAAGAGAAATCAGAGGGATAAAAAGAAGCTTTATTGAAAATGTAGCATGGAGCGCAATGCGAGTGAAGGCCGAAACATCCCTGTGATGGGTGTCCAGCAAGAAACATCCGGTCTTTAATAGGGGATATGATCTCCCCTGACTGCTAGGCAGATTTCACAACGTCTGCCCATTCTGAGAATGAGGGTGTCAATGAGTTGTTGAGGCATTGCTGCAAAATCGTCATGCAGCGCCAATCGAAGCTCCGGAATCTTTACTGGTGGTAAGGTACGAGCTGCCAAGCGTCTGCATAGAAAATCCCATACATGCTCGATGGGATTGAGATCCGGAGATCGTGCCGGCCAATCCATGCGTTCAACATCCTCACTCTCTAAGAGCTGTTCGGCAGCTACTCTGCGATGACATGGTGCATTGTCGTCCATGAAACGGAACTGCGGACCCATAGCGCCTCTAAAAAGACGCACACATGGAAGAAGAATCTCGTTACAATAACGGGTCCCGTTGACTGAACCTGCGTCGAAGATGTGAAGGTCTGTACGACTACCAAGCATGATGCCTCCCCAAACGAGAACACCGCCACCTCAATACCTGTCCCTTTCAATGATGTTCGAGGGATGATTGCGGCTTCCCGCTCTCTCCAGATGAATATGCGATGAGAATCGCTACTCAGACTAAATCTGCTCTCATCTGTAAAGAGTACTCGTCCCCATTCATTGTCTCTCCAATTCCGGTGTTCCCGGCACCACAGAGAACGCCTTCTCGATGGGCAGGCGTTAGAGGTACACACCGTACAGGGCGTCGTGCAAACAGACCACCACCGTGCAGTCTTCTGGCCACGGTAAAACGCGATATCGGTCGTCCAGTCGCCTGTGTCGTGTGTCTAGCGATTTCTCCCGCTGTCTGCCGCCTATTTCTTCTGGCCTGTAAGGCAATATACCGGTCATCTGCGGGTGTGTTTCCTCGTGGACGACCACTACTAAACCCCCGGATAGCTGTTCCTGTAGTTTGAAATTGTCTCCAAAGTCGTGAAACGATGTGTGAGCAATTCCGAACTCTGCAGCCACACTTGTCACACTGCGTCCTTCCTCCAACTTCCCAATGATTCGGCCTCGGGTAAAAGCATCCAGATGTCGTCTAACAGATTGATTATTCGCCATTTCTCGCTGAGGCAGCAACTCGGTGTGATTTTAACTGCTATACGGCGTGCAATCTCTATGCCAGAAATACTGATCTTACACCGACAACATGCTTTATACTACTCAGACACTCCACCATTACGTCTACCTGCAATTCTGCGCATGTGCTACCGTACATCACCTTACTTAATCTCTTGATTGGTCTTTCTGTCCGATCTGCCTCTTCGTTCAGCTGATATGCTAATTTTTCGACTTCGTCCTTAATTTTGGCACACCGGTGTATATACTCTAAGAGTTTGCATATCAGACTGACATGATATTCTTCTTTGATAGTAAAGACATCTGTCATAGTTAACCTTTCTTTCTCCCTTTCATCTTCAAATTTCCCTTTCGGTTTTGTTATGAGATAAAGTTTCTGTGGACTATCCAACTGGTACTCTATTCATGGACATTTCGGGATGGATAATGCGTCGCAAACGTTTGATTGAAATCTTCAAATATGCAGGCACTACAGTGGTGGCCAATATTATGGACACTTTTGGAAATTTTTATGTTTTTGAACTTTGTATGCTTATAGAAAACGTTACGTTTCACAAAATGCAAACTTGTATATATGATTTTAAAGAGAATTTATTACTGAATTCAATACAAAACAAAATTCAATTATTTGCAATACAAAAAAAGTTAAACGATAATAGTTATCGATATACATTAGATAGTGATGATTGCAGTGAGTTATCAGTACTTAGTAGGGTACCCTTTATTTTTGATTACAGCTTCACATCGACGTTTCATTGAGCTGACAAGAGTTTTAAGCTCTTCTTTCGTTATTACATGATGCCAGGAAACAATTGTAGCCTCAATTAGTTCCCTTTTATTTGATGGGCGCCTCATTCGGACAAGAGTTTTCAAACGGTGCCACAAATAGGATTGAGGTCAGGACTGTTTCCTGGCCATGACAACAATTTAGTGCTCTTTGTACGAAACCACTCTTTCGATATTTTTGGCCGTGTGGCAAGGAGCAGAATCCTGCTGAAAAATAAACGAAGCATTGTTGGGAAAGAGATCTCTGATGGAAGGTAGAAGTTTTGGTTCTAGAATAGTGTCAATGTATTTTCTGGCATTCAGTGTCCCATCGGTGACATGAAGGCGACCAATACCATCTGCTGACATCCATGACCAAATCATAACACTAACTGGGTTCTTCACAGTTCCTTGAATGCAGTCAGGATGTAGCTTTTCTCCTATTCTACGTCTTACATATTTTCACCCATCACTGCCGAATAAGAATATCTTAGTTTCATCACTCCATATAACTTGTGATCACTGATCATCTGTCCAATTAATGCGTTCCTTTGCCCACTGTAGTCTTTTTTTTTTCGTTGCTGAAAATTAAGATAAGGCTTTTTTCGTGGAATTCTACCTCTCAGTCCAACATCTGTTAATATTCTCTTCTCCTGATTGTTCTTGAACTGACAGAAACACCAGCATCATTCAGATCACTTTTGATGGCCGCTGACGACATTTTTCTATCTTGGAGACATAGTCTTTTTATTCTTCTGTCATCAATAGATGTGGTGCACCTTTTTCGGCGTTTTGCTTCTTCGTTTCTTATTGAACTTGTCTACTGATATCGTAAACAAAGTTTTCGGATTCCAGATGTAGTCACTGGACCACCCACCTGTCTTGCATTTTCAGCATAGGAAAGACGACTTTCTCGTAACACAATAATATTACATCTCTTTCTAGGTGTCCGATCTACTCTTTTATTTGATGTCATTGCTTCTTGACTAAATATTAAAAATTTTTACAAAAATTCCTACTTGTAATAGCAGTGTATAAGAAACAGGTCCTCCTTCTACAGAACAAAGCAAAATAATGAATTGTTTCAAGTGTAAATATGATGTCAGCTTCTACTGGCAGTTACTAACATTTGATTGGTTCTCAGAACAAGAACAGTGACTGGCCAGGAAAGCTAGACATTACAAACCATTTCATAACTGTGTTTTTTATTTACAATAAAGTACATATAACTTTTTTGTATTGCAAATAATTGAATTTTGTGTTTTGTATTGAATTCAGTAATAAATTCTCTTTAAAATGATATATAAAAGTTTGCATTTTGCGAAATGTAACATTTTCTATAAGCATACAAATTTCAAAAATATAAAAATTTCCCACTGTGCATTTATATTGATGCAAAGATCTTTCATCATCATATCCAGCGTAGCATTAATTGTTTTCTATGTTGCTGCCGTCACTGGACATTCGTTTCATGTTCATTCAAAGATCTTTCGCATTCATGGCTGAAGTTGGTCTCTCAGCCTTTGATAATTGCGAATGAAAAGGCTTCATTGCTTAACGTCTGCCGCAAATTGAAGAATTTATGTTGAAATTAGGCCTTTCTGTCAAAGATTTTAAAGTCCGAACAAGAACTATAGACTAATATCTACAGTTGCTTTCATGACAGCAAGGGCCTTATCACCAATCTATTTAAGTTATTACTTTGCATCAGCCACGGGAATAATGGTATTTTCCTTAAATGTCCTCAGAAAATCCCCTGTCAAAAAGGAGGGCGTTTATGCTAGACGACCACCGTTTACGTTTTCTCACTTCTGGTTACTGAAGGAAATGTTCGCATTTAAAGCGTTTGTTTCTTAACTAGAGCACTAAGAGAACATATTTTTGAAGATGAGTAATTAAGGGATTAAATTTTCAGAGTGATTACTGTGGCTAATGTCTGATATGGTAAGATATTGACTTATACGCCCGGGCAGACCTCCACGCATTTATTTCTTTATGAAAATGTAACTTCGGAAACATTTATACTTGACATTATTGATGTTAGTTTTGATGTTCTTGATGTGCAATTACGTAAAATTTTCTTTCTTCAGGGCGGCAACTCAGGACAACACAGAGCTTCTGCGATGGAAAAAGAACTTCAACTGGCAAACATAATGAGAATGAAGTGGCGAATACTGTCTCTGAAATTGAATTCCATTAAACATTTCAGGTAAACTTTAGGATTACTTGCTGCTGCTCTCAGTCCTTTTTTTCACAATCTTGAAGTAATGCTAAATGGTAAATTCCTTAGAAGGCAGCGAGTGAACATGTGTTGTTCTACAGCCATTTACACATTCTACAGCCATTTACACATTATACTACAGCCAACTACACATTCTACAGCCGAAACTTAAAATATATGAAGCTCATTATCGTTTATCAATTACAAGAAATATCCTGAAAAGTTTAATAAAAATTATGAGTTAGATATTATAAATTAGATTTATTAGATTTTAAAAGAAAACCTTTGCGAAATGTAATATTCTCAAGATTGTATCAAATATAATATCAAAAGAAAAATAAATGTAAAATGTAATCAAAAATTAAAGAATTTATGTTACTAGAATATCAAAATTTTGAAAACTAATAGTACGAGAAATCTGAAGGATGATTATTTTAAAATATTACGCTGTATGGATCCGCAGTGGCTCTTAGGATTAGCAATTTCCCAGGCCGCGTGAATGATTAATGGTGGATAGCATATCATAATATAATGTACCACGAAAACTGGAAAGACTGGTTCTTTGATATTTTAAACTTGCTCTCGATGTAAGAAGCAACGGTTTTATTTTTTAAATGCAATTATAGGTTCCAATCTGCAATAACCCTTTTTTAACCGTACATGGATATTTCACTCTATATTACGCATGGAACAATTTCAAAATTTCAAATTGTGTGGCGTGATCTAACAGAAAACATAATAGGCAAAAAATAAATAATTCTGTTTCTGCAGTCTTAAAATGATTTTATAACAAGTACAAGTCACTTAGTTAGCAAAAAGGACAATATGCTGTTCGAAACATATACCGTGTGCACTCTCATATTGTCTCTTCGTTTTACTAATTTTGTCGTACGAAAAGTGGGGGAGGAAAATTACGTGCGATAATTACAAATTCGGAGAATATGCTAATGCGATACATGGAAAGCTCATGCATGTCGTCCTATTTATGGTATGTAAATAAGTGTTGAAAAAATCTGATATCTTTAATCTTACACTCTTGTGAAATTCCCCACGGTGACCGAACACAACAAGGTTCGAGCTAAGGGGCAGACTACAAAGCTGTCGTCATGTCCCTGAGAGATGGGTTCAGTTATCTCTAACAAGCACACAGCGACCAAAAGAACAACTGCAAGAGCGAACCTCGCGTCCCGGCAGGACCACAGTTTAAGGAAAGCTGAAAATTTGGCAACTCTTTTTGCAGTGCACATCGTAATATTTTTACCACAATTTTTTTATCTGCAAGCACTAGCTAGCGAGTAGCCTGGCATATACCTTTCATTTTCAACTGTGATAACCCTGATACAGATATAACGTCAAGAGAAAAATCAGAAGAAGAATGTAGCATTATTTCAATACAAAGAACGCTGATATTTAATACCACTGATTGTTAAGTAGGTGGGTGGAATAGTTAAAGTTTTAAAACGACTAAGGAAGTCAGTATAGCCCCAAGACCCGATGGATTTGACAACATAACACGTTTGCACTACACAGCTTCACACGTTTTACTTCACCATTATCAAGTAACATGCGCCTATGTATGAGCATAGTGACATAACATGGTAACATAATTCTTTCCAGTGGCTAACAAACTGCAAGATATTGTGTTTTTCTGAAATACGACAAAGATTACAGTCAGTCAGTCTCTTACAGCTCCATTTACCGGCAATCCATTTCGGCAAAATAGATCATAGAATCCTATTCCAGAGACTCAAGAGTTTTAGGAACTATACGAGCAGGAAGAAGTATGGCTTTATTCTGCGCCAGTTGGTGCAATAAGCATTGTAACATTTGTATAAAATAGCCAGAATTAACAGATGGAATAAGCAGCATAATTTAATAATTTCTGTTGAAATTCAGTGGCCTTCTATTCGTTGTGATGGCCAGATGTACTGAAATTTCTAACGGATACAGGAAGCCCCACGGTTCTGTTCGACTTGGTTTATAGTTATTTGAAATATCCTTATGTACAAACCAAAGAGGATGAAAACATTTACATTAAAAGCACCAATAAAGATATTTTACATAATTCATGTTTGAGGACTTGCGGATGTTTCGCGGATACAGCACTAAACCATTCTGAAAATGACCTTATCACACTAAAAACTGGGTACACCTGTGTCTTTCTACTCGTTAGTAATGGACAACGCAACATTCAAGAATAGGGTGAGGAATGCTCTGCATAAATTTGTTAACTGGGTTAGTGAACATAGCTTAGTCACTGACGGTTCCAAAACCCAAGACATAAAGATGTTTTCACATAAAGATGTTAAAACCGTATGCCATAGATTAGCATAACAAGATCACCAAAACTGTGAGACATATGAAACATCTCGGCCCAATAATCAAAGATATCCTTTCTTGGTTTATTCTTCAATGGTTATGCAAATAAATATAATATACTGTAGGGTGGTGTTATTGGAAAGAGAAGGTGTGAAGAGAATGCTTGAGATTTGAAATGCAGCTGATTGAAAACGCAATATGCATACGAAATGAGCATGATGGATTCGGGGATTTAAAATCACACTAAATAAGTGAAATCGTTTGAATTCAATGCAAAGATAGTTTTTCGTAAGCACCTAACTCGGGTACGAAACATTGTGAGAAGTATTCGGAAGGTTTTACCATCATTGTCACTTCTGTATCTAATAGTGTACAGCAAAAGCGCAAGAGTGCAAATACTCGTTTTAAAATAAAATGCGTTACTACGGAGAAACACATATAGACATACATAGTTTGAACAGAGTACTACTGAACCACTCTGCGCAGAATTTAACAGAGCAAAAAACTGCAATCGGCAAACCAAATTGGAGACATGACTATTTACACTGGATAGCTTGAAGAAAAAGTACAAAATTAGAAGTAGATTTTGTGTACTTAATGAAATGGAGGTATTGAGACTTGGGTGAAGAAATTAAGGCCAAATGATTGGTTTGCAAAATCAGTTGGCTGTATTGAAAGCAGTACTTCTCCTTTTCATACGAATACGTATTTATAGCATTACGTATATGCATATGCAACGTAGTTAAGCAAATAAACCATTACTCACCAGGAGACATTTCTTAACGAAAAAATAGATTTATATGCAATCTTAAATTTTTAGTACTGTGGAAATTATAAACTAAACAAATTTAAATCAAACCTAAAGTTTGCGAAAGTCAATTTTAAACTAAAAGTAAAGAAATGAATTATGGCAAAAAGCTAAAATATTAAAAGTAAATAGACATAATTTATAGCCTCAATTACTGCATTATACAGATATTTCATTTACATATAGTGCATCATAAGTAAGCTACACTTAGTAGCATTATAGCTTAGTGTTTCATACTGTGTACTGCTTTATATACTTGCAGGAAATTGCAAGCTTTATGTTTTTTAACCATTTAAAAAATATATTTACCCGCGTTTGATAAGAAACTGTGTATGTGTAATCATATCTACTTTAGTATACTTATTCGTTATTTGAAGCTAAATCAGAGTAGCATGGTAATTCAACAAACTTGATATTAAGAACAGCATATCAAAAATTAACAGCCTCGCAATTAGCTTCATCAAAGGCACCTCTGTTTGATATATTACGGACCAAATGTACCCCGCTGACAATGGAAAGTAAAATATGCTTTAATTCTTGTTATTATGAAGTTGTGAGTCAGCTAACATTTGTTATTAGATACGCTCCTATGTATACCGCAATCTATGGCCAAAATAATATTTTTATTATGAAATAATTATTTTTTCTTTTGCAGTAATTTGTCTTGACATTTGCACATCCTTAACTAGGCAGTTATCCTGAATCAAGTCGAAAAGTAGAAAAAGGCTTAGTATTTCTAGTAAGATTATGAATTAAATTACAAATACAGATGGAAAATTCGCAGTTTTACTCTAAATGATCTCGAATGGTATGTCACACCATACTTTTCTCAGGACATAATTTCATTATATTTTGCCCATTTTATTTTGATACGGTACTATCCGACTAGCCGTCATACATAAATTTTCTCTTAAAATTATTATAACAACCACTTTAATCTAAACTAATCGCAGCATCTAGTAAAATTAAATCTGTCTCTTTCTTCTTCTATTAGGCATGAAATAGATTTGGTCCAATTATAATAAATTAGATAATTTTGCTTTGATCTTTCATAAACTTTCAAGTCATTTCAACTTTAATATATTCAGTTATTTTACTTTGATCTTTCACAAATAATCTGGGTCAATTACAACACTCCTGTAAACTTTTAAGTAAGACGACGTTAGTTTAACAAATTAAGTTAAGGAACTAGGATAGCGACAGGAAAACCAGAATAAAATTTAAATAGATTTTCCGTCAGTTCAGCTGTTGTATAATGGGGCTTAGAGAAAGAATTGTAATCGTGGTGAAAGTGTCGTTTATTTTAGAATGCATTCCTGAACTTTTGTATTCGGAATATTTAAATTAACAGTTTTTGTCATCTTAGTAATTCTAAGCTACATATTTTCAAGCTATTCGATTATCATTATGAACGATAGTTGGAGATATCTAATCAATCTCATAAAAGTTTAATTAAAAATCAAAAACGCGTCTGAGTAGTGTCTTACACAAGCTTTTGAGTTTTAATTGTTAAATATATGTTATTTAATTCGTTCTGACTTTAATATATAGTGCTTGTGAAATTTAAAGGATAGCGACAGAAATAAAAAATAACTATTACTTATTGGAAAACAGCTAACATAAATTACTATGCGTCTCAACTGATTAACCTCAAAATGCTGAATTTAAAAAAAATATCAATATTTAAAAATAATGGTAAACAAGTAATGAACACTGTAAACTTTGTGCAAAACTATTGTTTACGAACATTGTAAAATAACGGTCTAAAATAATGGAATATTTCAAATAACGGTACCTGTTTTCATCAAAAGTTTCTTTAACACGTTGAGAGCGATTGAGAGATATTGCTGTATTTTCCGTTCAGCTGGCAGCGAGCTAGGACTAGGGAAAATGAAAAGAGGAATACTTCATCTTCTTATTTTTTTTTACAGTCTGGGCAATGGTGCAACCAATGCACACGTATATTACGTGTGGTGCAGCCAATCCACACGTAAGAAAAAGGTGACTTCCTAGAGACAATTAGTTAGAACAAACCCATGCAAGTGCAGCAACAATTTCAGAATTCGTTTGTTTTTTTAATTTTTTTGAAAGTATTTTTTGCCCATAAGACCGAAAATATTTGGAAGAGAAAGAGATAGCAATACTTTATATTAAATAATAATATACGATAACAGGAATATACTTGGCGTTTGGATGATAAAAATATTATTTTTATCAGATTTTTATCATCCAAACGCCAAGTATATTACTGTTATCGTTGGAAGATGATCACTTTTTGGATCATGCCGTTGTTTTAGACCGTTATTTTACAATGTTCATTCAATGGAACTTTCCAATTGCAGCTATGTTATTAGTGCTAACGAAACCAATAACCAAAATGGTTTGGTCCAAAAGTCAATCAGCCAAATATTATACTTTTTACAAGTGATTACAATGCCAAATAATATAATATAAAATACTTTTTAATAAATTCAAATTTGTTTTAATTAAATTTGAACATCTACTTTTTTGACTTTGATAATCTTGGTCTCTACGCTATGGTCCGACGCCGAAGAAACGAAAAATTCATTATCGGTTCCCAGAGATCGACTCCGCGATCAGTGTGTTAATATGGTGTTTGGTAACCTCTGACAGAAATGCAAACCTTACATCTTGATTTCATAGAATTTACGAACGTGTTTATGAAGTTTATGTTAAAGGTCAAAAGATACCTGTTATTTACCCTGAGTAAGTAAGCAAAGGAGCCTTATAATGGCTTTCCAGATTAACAACGCTTTCCTGGGGCCCATGGTACCATTCTAGTGCCGAGGTGCTACTGATGCGACCGAAATCGCAAGTTCTGCCACCGATGGTGGTGTGACAGGTGGTTTGGGACTTGGGCTAGTGGAGTATTTAATTGAGCACCATATAGTTGCATGTCCATCAAATATGATCATTCGTTACTGAAATATACAACCCATGTACTCAATTCCTCTTAAATGCATATTCGCGCATAGATTTAAATTGGGGTTGCCTTTCTATTAAAGTTTAACTTTATAAAAGCCAATTATGTATTGTAACCGATGGAGTGTTAGTTTGTTCAGGTGTATTTTATTACACACTTTGGCTAATGCTTTGATATTTTAGAGCAGTTATGAATTGTTCATATTATTCCGTTGACTTCCTGTTATACTTGGATACTTTATACCACCTGACTGGAGATTGGGCATGATCTGAAGTGCTTTGATTATTTGAGGTAACCACTCAGATATAAATTCGAACAATGATCATTGGAAGCTTGATTGGGTGCCGATATTGAATTGGATGGGATCACTCTGTGTTATACAGTTCTAGGCCCCTTGATTTCAGAATATCCATTACTTGGCTTTTGGCTTATGCTCTTCCTCATCTCGCTCTTACTTAGTGCGCATTTGAGAAAAGAATTCGTATCTAGTTCTAGTCTTGGTCTTCTTAGATGCATATTGTTATGGTGCATGAGAATAGGCAATGCTCTGGTTCGCTTTATTCTCCACATACGCATTGATCTCAAAATGCAGAAATGAAAAAATTATAGAAATATGTGTGGAACGGACCATGGCTGGAGATCAGCCATACTATTTGTCTGCTTATGATGTCTGGATTGAAGTTTCTCCCTGAGTGCTTTCCGTTTTCGGCGGAATCTTACAAGTGCTGCCATACGTTTTGAAAAGCATTTTTCTGTGTTGATGGTTAAGGTGGTAGCCTGGCCATGGAACGTTTGTTTGTTGCATTAATGCCCTAACTGCTCCTTTTACTACGGTATCCACTTCCTTCGTTGTCCTTAACTAGTCCTTTTACTACGCCATCCATTTCCTCGTTGCCCTAGCTGATCCTTTTACCACGGCATTCACTTCCTCGTTACCCTTATTGCCGACATGGGCTTTGATCTATGATAGTAGTATAAAATGCTACTTGTTTGTGTTAGAGGCAGTGTTCAGAATGTCTTGCGTTATTGGGTATCTGTTCGTTTGGGAGGCTGTTGCATGCAAGGCAGACAAGCTGTCTCTAAATGAATCGTGAATGCTGTATTTGATGGCATCTGTGCTATTTTATTTGATAGTGTCTTTCATGCTATTGCTTCTGTTTGGAATACACTATTTTGTATAATTATTTGGAACTTTTGCTCTTCTGAGCTGTTGAGGTATATTTCTAGCGCACATACCTTTTTAAATGTCGCTGAAGTACCATGGCACTGCAATCACTACTGTTAAAGAAATAATGTTTACCTTTTGCCTCTGCAGGGTAAGCGGATTATGTGTGATTGCCTGAGTGTTTCCACAAATAATTGTAGTAAAGTGATGTCACAGAATTAGTTATTTTAATTAGATACTTTCCATTTTAGTAATTTGCCCGACCATACCTTTCCACAATAAAGGCCAGGGGTATCTATGCAAATTTGTGGAAATTCGTTCATGAACGTCTCTTTGTTGATGCCGAAAGTTACATGGATCTTTACCGCAGAAACTCTAGATTTACTTTCTATTGCAAATCAACTACAGTTTTTTAATTCGATCTTCGAAGCATTATTCTACTTCTTCTGTGTCTCGACGAATATTACCGAATTTCTTACATAAAATTAACAGCCAACTTGGAGCTGTTCAAATAAGATTTTTTTTCACAATTTCTGTCAGTTCAACAGTTTTCACTTAACATGGGCAGAGGTTACAAACTTCATACAGACGGCGAGAGAAATTCAAATATGCACTTGCCAAAACAGGATCTTACCTCAGTCTACCTACATTAGTTTTTCCAAAAGAACGAATTCCTCGTCAACAGACTTTATTTTAATCCGTATGCAGCGGATCGTAGACCAAACTCTCACAATCCTATTCGAGAAATGTCTAAACTTTACAATAAAACTGCTTGTCAGCCAAATCTACATAAATTCTGGAATGAGCGTACCGTGTTGCGAAAAGAGGCAAAAGGGAAACAAGTAAATTAAACTACATTTCTTCAGTAAAACTATAACATAAATTTCACAATTTTTGGGGAAAAGAAAATTAAAACAACAGTGATAAAAGCAAGGTTAATTTATTTGTCTAGAATCCAATTTTTATTTTATTTTTAGAGTTTTAGTGTCTTTTGCTTATCACACTTTCGAGCCTGACAGATACTGAATACCTGACAGATTCACGAATAGTTAAGGAAAGGATCAAGATAGCAGTTCTGTCATTCGAAAAACTCTTCAGTAACTTATAGCAGAACGATATTTTGCAACTTTATCCTAATTTTGTTCGATGACATTCCGGAAAGAATTATGTATATCTCCTATTTTATCATTTTTCCCTCCTTCTCTCAAGAAAAATTTAGACTGAAATATTTAATCTGCTTCTTTTCTGCCAAAATATCAAATACAATCACAAATGTCTATGCTTTCTCCGAAATAAAGGTTAATGGCACTGTAGAGACTTTAAGCAGGAGATGTGAAAAATGAACAATACCTTCGCCGGGAATCGAGCCTCGGACCTCTCGAATACGCGCCGAGCGTGCTGACCACTACACTACGAAGGCATTCTAAGAACATGGGAGAAATACCTAGTAGCGCCACAAATGGACTGCACTGTCCATGGTATGATCAAAACTGGGATAGATAAATGTTTCAAATCAAAGTAAGCTGAAAATTTCTATTAAGAGAAATTAATTTAAGTCAAAAAACGTGCATCATCATATTAAGGAACTGGAAAAAAACTGATAATAGAACTATACGCAATTTACCTGTTTAGACATATTTTGCTATTGCCAACTTCTATAAAATTTTATGACCAATACTTTTATACCAATCCTAACGAGGCCTCAAAAAGATTATTATCATCAATGATATCTAAATTTACATTATTTGAAATATGATAGTTTGACTTGTCAACAAATATTTAAATAGAATTTTGCGTTTGACCTTGATGCAGCTGAAAAATATGATGAAGTTTTTGGTGTCACTGATGATGTTCTCTGATAAACAGATCTAATTGATAAGGAAATAGTAAGCTGTGTGTTGTACAAGAAGTAATGCACTGTTTTCGGTAATTCAGTGAATTAAGCAAAAAATGCTTGATCAACTAATAAAGTATTTTTCCAAGATAATACTTCTTTGAAAAATACAAATATCTTCGAGTAGATTAACTAAATTGAAGAAATAAGTAAGAGCTTTCAATTACCCTATCTTTATCCTCCTCTTTCTATTTGTTAGATTTGGCGCCGTTAATTTACTGTATTCTTCATGTGTGTTTCGCTCATTCGGTTTCTTTTTTACTTCTTTGTACGAAGCAAAGGAAGTATTGTAATCACGAAAAATTCCGGGTACCATATTTCAACGATAATACCTATTGAGACCGCTATCGAAAGCAATTTAACGATGATTTTGCGTGACATCTGTAAGTAAGGACAAAATAAAGAACACATTTTTCCAGATGATTTAAAAATGGGCCCAGAAGAGATTTTTTGTAGCGTCTCTACGTACGTACGTACGTACACGTTTGAATGTATCTCGCATACCTCAAAAACCCTTAGCTTCAGAACGTTGAAATTTTGTATATAGGACTGCTATAACATGTAGCTGTGCAACTCCCGTTCCGGTTGCAATCAGCCACACAATATATATATATATATATATATGTACCCACTCTGTTACTCGACTCAAAGAGCTCAGTTTTATTTATTCTTATATGTTGGTAAATTGTGCATTTGTTGCTTTAAAAATTATTGAATTATGTTGTTCTTATCTACCGGTTAATGTGTTTATGCCTTTAGTTTATAAAGTATTTATCCAGCCTTAGCATGACTTCGTAGTGGAGTGGCTAGCACGCTGGATGAGTATTCCAGAGGTCCGTGGTTCGATTCCAGGCGAAGGCGTTGCTCATTTTTCATCTTTACTGTTTCCAAAATACCTAATGTCTCTACAGTGGCGCCAGAACTAAAAGGGTGGTGGATGATGAATTTCCACAAGCAAGATTTGGCGATTGGTTCCCTAAAATAACCCCAACCGGCCTTTAAAATGGGGAGTACATAAGGTATTTCTCCCGCCTTCGTGGTGTGGTGGTCTGCACGCTCGGCTTTTGTTCCAGAGGTCCCGGCGAAGGCGTTGCTCATTTTTCAAGCCTCCTGGAAAAAAAAAAAAAAAAAAAAAAAAACTAACGTCTCTGCAAGCTAACATGCATGCAATAGTTGTAGAATTATCAACATTTTAAAAGTTGTTTAAGTGCAGCTAAGCCTATTTTTCACCATAGCTGTCTTATTTGTTTACATTTGTAACTTAGCAGAATAGTGAATTAAGTCTTTTTGCACCTTCAGTGTATTTTTTCCGATTGGGACCAAAAAGAAACTTTTAGTTTTGTGCAGCAAAAAATCTGCCTTCTTGCCTGCTGGCCAAATTGCTTGTTTTTGCTTAGAAACTGTAATTTATCAAAACTGTTTTGTAAATTCTTTTAACTACATTTGGTGTTTTATTTCTTCTATATCTTTCAATTTTTGATGAAAATATTTTGTGTTTTAATGCATATTTGCTTTGCTGTGAAGTGAGAACTGAATTAATTGAATAAGAACTCTACAGCTAATGAAATTCGAGGAAATAAGTTTAAATGAAATGCAGAAAAAACGCGTATAATTTAATATTCCGTACAAGGAAGTCATGTGATGCACACATCAGCGTTTTTTTAAATCGAGATATGAAAAATATGCTTCTTACTTTACAGCTAGAGTTCACTGATGTTGTGATTTCAGTGTAGCTCGATTAAAAGAAGTAAAGATTTCATGAAATAAGTTTAACATTTTAAATTTAATATTTAACGCTCAAACAGTTCAAAATTTTCTTTCTTAGCAATTTTTATATTGTTCGATTAAGGAATGTTCTTTAAAAGCTAATACCTACATATTTAAAGTAACGAATGACTATGATATGTATAAAAATCGAACAAGTATTGGTAAACAGAGTTATGAATCCTACTTTTTGCTATATTGAATCTAAACATTAATGCTTTCTTAATGTTTTATTGATCTGATACGCATCGTTACCTCCTGAAGCCTTGGGTTCATGGACGACATCATACTTTGAAATCATTCTATAAACCAAGCGTATCTATAGCATTCGAAATCCGTACATTTCTTAAAATTGTTTTCACTCAGTATGACAGAGAAATTTATTCAAATTTGGTTTGAGTCATTAATTTGTAGTTAGTGTCTTCTATTCAGTTTACAAAAACAGCTTCTAAATTCATATTTAACAGATTAATTAATTAAGGATTTATGTGATTGTAAAACTGGATTTAAGTTTTCAGATAATCACAATAGATCTTCCTCTTTGAGCTGTGACTTTTTTGCTTCTGTATTTGAATACTCCGATGCCGAAATTCACATAGAAATTACTTTTGCTCCGAAAATAAATCATGAGATTAAAGCCACAAAAAGAAGGGATATGGCGAAACATACGCTTGGTGGGGGATATGGTTATGCTCAGTTTTTTTAACTGGTTTTCTATTGACTCGATTTGAGAAATTCAGTGATGTTTAATACAGGAATGAGAAAGTGTACCAACAGATGAAACCAACCTCTGAAAATAAACAAAAATCTATAAACATGACAAGAAATCTTTAGCTGTGGAAGGAATGTATGATTCTTCGTGTGGATATTTGGACGTCATTTTTTCCTTTTTTTACTTTTTACATTTAAAACCTTTTAACTTTCTAGTTGTGCTAGAAATTAAATTTAATGAATTCTGTTCTCCCTGCACTATATCAAGAGATATATAATGAAATATTTAACTGATAGCTTTTTTTATATGTTTATGTTCGTAAAAAGATTCTCGGAAAGGAATGTAAATAAAATTTTATGTTAAAGTAATAGGAAGTGATGTTCTGGAACCGTAATTCAAACAAATCTTTCAGATTGTGTTCAATTGTTCTTTTCTACTAATACGACCAAGAAGAGATCGATAGCAGTATAAAAAATCATATGACCATAAATTTATTGCTCCTATCCGCCCATGCATAATGTAGGAAGCTTCCAAAATAACGTCAGCAAAAAGTACATCTTCCGCAGAGATGCAAAATGAACAGAGAAATATTGATTTAGCAATCGTTTCAAGAGATGCAGTTGTTTACCAAAAATGATGATCGCAAATATTTCCATGTCAGGAAGAACACGTTTTATTGTTATATTTTTTTCCATTTTGCTGAAGTAAAAAAATAAAACCCATTTCCCTCCCGAACTAACGTTGCAATAATTTATAAAGCTTCAAAAAACTGAAAGCGTTTCTCGGATTGTATTATTTTGTTATCTCATTCCGTCATTGCAAGCATGCATTCATCACTTCGTGGAAACCTTATTTATTGAATATGAATCTGAATTGATTTGATGTGAATGGTTTCAAATATTATATAGAAAGTGAAATTGAAGCATAAAAATGCAATTTTAGAGATTGTACTGCTTTCATGATAATGGCAAAATTAAATAATACCTACAGCAAATAATTTAAAGATAGCTAAATATTAATAAATAACTGAAACATTTTTCCAACATATCTCTGCTAAGAGGTATGCAAAAAACATGCGTTGAGAGTACGCTTTCAAGAAAAAGGCATTTTCTCTGAAAAGCTATAGATAGAGCATGCATTCTGTAACTAGTACTAGGTAGTCACTTATACAGTAAATTACTCAATATAAAGATCATTAACTCAACCACTTTTCAAGATCATTTTCCGAATATTGCGCTTTCAAATTTGTGAATATAGTTACAGAAATGGTTTTTAGAAGAAATAACTTTTTTTATGAAATTACGCTCTCATGTTTTCTTGAATAATATAGCGTTGCTTGTCTGATAAATAGTTTTTTTAATTAAAAATATTTGTTCTTTTGCTTTGAACCCATCTCCTTTCTTATACGAAATTAAAATTCTAGAGAGGAAACAAAAATGACCTTGACATCCCCATACTGATTTATGATGATATGTTATAAAGAAGATGTCTACAGATAAGTAAGAATGAGTAACATGAATTTTCTGTGCAGTTTTATGATTTGTTTTACATAACGTATATTCCCCCACAAATTTCTGACGCAGCTTAAAATAACTTTTCACGGGCTAATTTAAATTACAATACACACCCCTCTATTTACATTAGGCGAGACTTAATACAACTTCAAAGTTAGGTACATGCGCAAAAGTCGTAACGCTCAAACTAAAATTTACTAATTACTAATTCCGTATACTGTTCTTCAATTTTCGGCCCATGCAAAAAATAATTTTATTTTATGATAACTAATTACTAGGACACGCATTCTTGTTTATACATCACTATGGTAGCGAAATGCACCGCAAAATTCCGTATAGCTCATGACATATTGAGACAATGGATGAAGAGTAAGCGTAAGCAACACACGTTAACACAGAAGAGCCACGAAATTTAAAGCGCATTTCAGCAAAGCTTTATTTATAGAGTTAGATTTCTTTGCTTAAATTTTGGATTGCAATTGGGTAAAAAATATCCGCAATGCTTCTCTTACATAATGGCGTAATGAAGATTAATTTTCAGCTCACGCAGTTTAGATTCTAGGAAGAAGACTTTGCTAAATTGAAATGAAGAATTAAAAGGACAAATTGAAGTTAGTAGTTTTCTCTCCTATTTTATATCTTAAATTCACACCCACACATTCCACAATTTATTTATCTACTCAATTCTTTATTGGATGTGATACATCCTTATGGATGTATTTATTTTACGTATGCATTTGTTTATTTGTACGGATGTATTTATTTTATTTACGGATGTATATATTTTGTTTACGGATGTATTTATTTATTTGCGTAAACCGCTACGCAAATTCTGGGTTTTTACACAGGGTTGAAATGAACTTCAAACTCAAGTTCCAACAGTAACATGAATTTTAATACGAGGAAAAGCTTAACAGTTGCATATCTTGGCAATATGGGGCGTGGATACATTTTGTCCCGTAATTTCAGAATTTTGTTACAGGAAAAATACTCTAGCACATTATAGACGAGGAATATCATTCTTAGCAGGCCAACATGCCCATCGCTCTATTTGCCTTCTGTAACTAATGATATTCTGTAACTAATGATAATAGAAGAATGATTACTAGTTTTCTTTTCTTAAGCATTGATCAGAAACGTATAATTTAAAAATTTCTGAAAAGACGGTAATAAAGATTTATTGAAGCATTTTTTAAATTAGGGTTTTGAGAGTACTTTTGTTACTTTAAGATAATTTCCGCCATATGTTGTCTTACTATGATGTTAACTGAGACTAGAGATTTATACAAATTTCATCGAAAATCAGCTTAATTTAAAACTAGAACTTAAACTTAATCGTGAATTTATAAAGCGTGTTTCGTGATACAATCGTGATGTTACACCAGCAGTGATAGAGAACTACCAATGCTTTGATGCAACTCGTTAAGTGTTAAATCATTATTCTACGTTGAACAGAAGTCTGATAGATCACCTTCATTTTAGCTGCAGTACTCACATATCATGGCTAATGAAGTTCATGTCAGATTTTACCTTTATGTCGTATCTTGCGTATACGTTGTTAAAGGCGTACCAAAAAGAAAATGAGCTAAACATTGGACATAACTTGTGTTGACTACCGTTTGGTGTTCATTACAAGAAGTATAAGTTAGTTTTCCCCAAAGAAACTGTACATAAAAAATCTGATTGTTTATATGGTTCCGCAGATCGAAGCTTTTAGTGACCAAAACGCTCATTATGTTCGAATAAATGAAATAGAAATATTTTATAATATTACGTAAATGCTTTCGAACGAATTTTCTGATTCAGACTACTTACCAGCGCCTGTTTTTTAATCGACTTTGAAAAGATTTTGAACCTTTTTTGAGAAACAC